CTCATTAGCACCTCCAAAGATAGATCACAGGAGACCACTGTTATTAACTCAATTAATCCCTTGTGTTTTCTCTGAACAATGTAATAAAATCTCTCACTTTGGATGACACTGAACCTTCAAAGACACTAATATCTAGAAATCACCAACTTCTATCTATTTATGATGTAATTAGAAGGAAGGAAATAAGATTTTTAAGCACATTATTTTCTTGTAATTATTTCATTTCTTATGTAGTATATATTTCATCTGCTTATGTAGTATAACATCTTTCTGGATGTCATTTTCTAAACATTTTTCAACTAGTATAGGAAGCCCTTCTGACAATTGTCCAAAGCAGACTGATAAGAGAGGGAAAGAATTGTATTCTATTTATTTACTAAAAAAATAACCTATGAAAGTTTACATAATTTTGTGATGGCATATATCAGGGTATGATTTAAGGTACACAGAAAAGATGTTCAAAATTAGTCCCACCTAACCTGTAATCTTTGATTCACAGTTTAAAATAGTTATGATTAAAACCCTATGGAAACGATCTGGATTAAACAGAGTAAGTATGTTCTCAAATTTCAAAAGCTGTAGTATTATTATCTTTCTAAAGTCATGAATCATTAAAATGCCTTAAGGTGAATTTCTAGAGGGAAAAATTGTATAGCATCTCAAAAATCAAAACAAGTGAACAGAGGGGGAAGAAAATTGAGTTATAGATGTCAATGAGTGAGATAATTAAGCAAGTAAAACATATGAGTACAGATAGTCCCCAGGTTACAGAAGAGCTCTGTTCTTAACTGTCTTTTAGAAGTTGTAGGTCAACGAATGAATGGAAATCCAAGTTCTGTATAAATTTTCATTAAAATCTCAAAAAAGAGAAAAAAAAAGAAGTTGTAGGTCAGTTGGAACAGATGAAAATAACTCTTTCTAGTCATATTTTAGTGTGAGGAAAGGCTTGCAGCCATTTAATACTTAAAAGATGTATGCACAGCACACTGTGAATAGAAGTTGGTTCAATTATTTCAAAACAAAGGCTTGTTTGTTTAGGATTAAAATAAGCTTCAAAGACACCTCTTAAAAGATGACAGCAAGCAAAGGCATTTGAAATGTATGTGGCGCTCCATCTTAATGCCAATTATCCAATCTGAAGCATCAGGCTATTAAGGGCTTGTTAAGGCTCTTCTGGGTCTCCTATTTCAGGGACGGACTCCAGCCACTGCAAATAAGCCAAGCTGCAAAAGTCCATTTCTGTTTTCTTTCATCAGTTGCACAAGACCAATTAGAACTCTTGCATGAGTAAAGGACAAAGAAGAGTTGTCCACAAGTCAGAAATACACAAACTAAGGACTATAAATGATATAAATGATAACCATAAATGATAACTAAGGCCCTCTAGGAGATGGATTGATTTGGTGACTGGGGTAATCGGGATGAGTGTGTCAGAGACAATGAGATTAGCACAGGACAGAACAGAGTTTAGGGCTGTTGTACACAGGGTCGCTATGAGTCGCAAGCAACTCGATGGCACACAACAACAACAACATATCAATTTAGTAATATAATAAAGGGTTTGATGGACACATTGGTTAGATGAAATTTAGATGTATCTCTCCCTGTAGAATCTTGAAGGAGGCAATTAGACATGAGATGCTTTACAGATCTTTGTCATAAAGACTTTTGCTCAAAAATTAGAGAAAGGATGGATAAGAAACTTCTCTGCTGTATTTGTTAAGATTACATTTATGTCCCAGAGAAAGTGGTTGTTCCTCATACTAAAAAGGAGAAAACAAAAAAAAAAGCATTCATATAACAATTAAATTTATCATTCAGAAATTTTTAATTCATTTAGTAGAAACGACTCCTGAATCCTACACCTCTTCAAATAGTTGTTATTAGTGTTTCAGAGACTCTGGTTTCAGTAACAATGCATTGGGATCTACAAAGATTAATAATGTCTGAATCCAAGCAAGCACAGTGATGACTCAAACTACAGTAGAACTCAAGTCTATGGACAGAGAGAAAGGTAAGACCCTCTGGGAGTTCACCTAAGAGAGTAGAGGTGGGGGAAAGAATGAAAATCAATTTAAGAAACAAATGTATTCACTACAGGTTGCTTTAAGGTGAAGTGACATGAGTAATTTCAGAGAAAAGGAATGGAAGCAGTGGATACAAACTAAAGAAAATATGGCATATTGGAGACTTTCACTGACGTAACAATACTTTCTGACCACATATAACACTTTCTGGCAAGAGCATATTACAAGTTGATATAACCAATGATTGCTTCATACTTACATCCCAAGGTTACTGCCACAAGGGAATATTCAATGCTGTTACAGAGATAAAGTTATTGGGCACTAAGGTTATCTTCAAGTCAGCCTCTACAGAGGACATTATGCACCCCAAAAAGAGATTAGTATAGAATCTTTCTTATCACTACAGCCAGAAAGATACATTTAAACAAAGAAAAAAGGCGAGCCAAAGAAAAAAGATATGATGTTTATGTTAAAGCAGAATTCAAAACACAATAAGGCTCTGCATTTCCCATGCTTCATTCAGAATTAGCCAGCATTCCACAAAGGTTGGACAACAAGAAGGAAAAAAAGATCTCTACCTAAAACTTGTTGCATGGGAGAACACATCAAGTGATCTAAAGGTCATTTGCAATTTTATGTGTAATGAATTAATAATTGTTAGTATATGACTGTGGTTGGACATTTGGGCTGTTTCCATGTTATGGTATATTCACACAATAGAATATCACACAGCATGCATCACTACCTAACTTGGGACGGATTGGGAAGCATTATGCTAAGTGAACTCACTCCCATAAGGACAAATACTGTATAAGGCCATTATTGTAGATATAGGTAACTAGTAAAATGTGTATGGGGATCTAAGGAGGGAAAGTGGGGAGCAGAGGGGTGGGTATGGAAGGAAGGTAATCATGGGATGACTTGGTTTGATGGGTGGAGAGGGGGTTTGCGGGGAATCCAGCATGAGGGGCAATGTAAAGAAACATTGTAGGTAAACCAGTTTAAAATTTTTTAAAAAATAATTGTAAGAAACTTTTAAAAAGAATTGTTAACACTGTTCTCTTTAAAAGAGCAAGAATGGCATGAAGTATGCAGAAAAACTAGAAAGAGTAAGAAAGAAGACAATTTTAAGCCAATATAAGGAGTGATTGACGAGAATTCCTTCTTCTTGTTGTTATGTACCACTGAGTCAGAATCAACTCATAGCTGGCCTTTCAGCAGGTTTTCAAAGGCAGTAAGTTTCACAGAAGGAGATTGCCCATCCTCTCATGGAACAGTGGGTAGATTTGAACTGCATGTTTTTGAGTTGGCAGCCCAACTCCTTATTAGTAGATCACTGGAGTTCAGAACTACTGAGTGAGCCAAAATTGGAATTTTATCCTATAATTCCATTACATTGCTATTGTGTTTTTATGGCATATGCTAGTATAAGATAGTAAACATTTATCATTAACATTTCAAAGCATAACATATAGATGTCAGCTAGATTTCTATGGTCTTGCAAAGTATGATCTCAAAAAAGGTGTCCAAATATTGAGTCAAGTATATACCTGCAATGGATGGTTCTCTGCTGACTGCAATAGTGAAAAAACAACAAACAAAAAAAAAAACCACATAAAACCTTTGTAAGTAAACCAGTACAAAATTTAAAAAAAAAAATGAAAACAGTGACTTGGTACAAGAAAGTAAATAGCAGACAAAGCAGAGTATTACCTAAAATGCTTTTATCATTTTATGGATGGAATATAAATAGTCCTTGCACAAGAAGTATCTGTCAAAAATTTCATAGCACTTCTGAACTAAAGAACCATTCTTTCCAAAAAGTTAATTCAAATATAATATAACATTGATAAAGGAAGTGTTAGTTGCTAGGTGCTGTCAAGTCTAGTCATGGCAACCCTTAAGATCTGAACCCTGTCCTATCCTGCTTCATCCTCACATTTTCTGACACACAAGAACCCATTGCAGCAATCACCATGTCAATCCACCTGGCTGAGGGTCTTCCTCTCCTTTGCCGAGCCTCCATCTCTCCTAGCATTAAGTCCCTCTTCAAGGAATAGCCCCTCCTAGCAACATGCCCAAAGTATGTGAGGCAAAGTCTCATCATTCTTGCCTCCAAAGAGCACTCCAGCTGCACCCTCTCCAAGACATTTCTTTTTCTTCACCATACAGGGGGTGTTCAGTGCTCTTCTCAAACACTACAGCTCAAAGGTGTCCGTTCTTTTTCTGTCATCCTTATTCATTGTCCAGCTCTCAGATGCATAGAAAATGATCAGAAAGACTGTATCCTGAATCAGACACACCTTAGTCCTCAAACTGACGTCACTGTTCCTCAATAATTTGGAAAAGTCCCTAACTGCAGATTTTCGCAGTGCACTGTATCTCCTTGTTTCCTGACTTCTCATACCAAGGGTGTTAATTGTGGATCCAATGAAGCAAGGCTGTCATGCAAACAGAGCAGGGGAATATTATATGGTTTAAAATTAAGAAGATAGTATGTTAGGATTGTTATTTTCTATATATACCTGTTCAATATATATGCTGGGCAAAATATTCGAGCAGCTGGTCTCTATGAAGAGGAGCGTAGCATCAGGGTTAGAGGGAGACTCATTAATAACCTGCATTATGCAGATAACACAGCCTTGCTTGCTGAAAGTGAGGAGGTCTTTATGCCCTTGTTGTAGAAGATCAAGGAATACAGACTTTGGGATGGATTGCATCTGATTTTCAAGAAAACAAAGATTCTTACCACTGGACTGATAGGCAACATCATGACAGATGGAGAGGAGATTAAAATTGTCAAAAGCATCATCTTATTTGGATCCACAATTCACACCCTTGGTACCAGCAGTCTGGAAAGGAAGTGTGCATGAGTTGATTTTGTATACCAGACTCCACTCTGACCTCCTGAGATCCTATTCTGCATTCATCACTAATTTCCTTCTTTTTATTACAGTGAAACAAAGAGTAAGCATGAAAAATCAAACTTCGTTGACTGAGTTTATCCTGCTAGGATTTACAGACAACCCAGGACTTCAGATCATGATTTTCATCTTCCTGTTCCTGACCTACATATTCAGCATCATGGGCAACTTGACAATCATCACCCTCACACTACTGGACTCCCATCTTCAGACCCCTATGTATTTCTTCCTTCGGAATTTCTCCTTCTTAGAAATTTCTTTCACTACTATTTTCATTCCAAGGTTCCTGTGCAGTGTTCTAACAGGTAATAAGGCTATCAGCTTTGCTGGATGCTTCACTCAGTATTTCTTTGCCATATTTCTTGGGGCCACAGAATTTTACCTTCTGGCTGCCATGTCCTATGACCGCTATGTGGCAATCTGCAAACCTCTGCATTACACAACCATCATGAGCAGCAGAGTCTGCACTCAACTGGTTCTCTGCTCTTGGCTTAGTGGTTTCCTAATCATCTTATCCCCAATCATTCTAACAAGCCAGTTAGATTTCTGTGCCTCCAATGAACTGAATCATTTTTACTGTGACTATGGGCCCCTCATGGAGATCTCCTGCTCTGACACCAGCCTCTTGGAGTTGATTGACTTTATCTTAGCAATTGTAACTTTGGTGATCACCCTGGTCTTAGTGGTACTTTCATATACTTATATCATCAAAACTATTATGAAGATCCCATCATCACAACAAAGAAAGAAGGCCTTTTCTACATGTTCTTCCCACATGATTGTAATCTCCATCTCTTACGGCAGCTGCATTTTCATTTACATTAAACCCTCAGCAAAAGAAGGAGTTGCCTTCAACAAGGGAGTAGCAGTGCTTATTACATCGGTTGCTCCCCTATTGAATCCCTTCATTTATACCCTGAGAAACCAACAAGTGAAACAAGCCTTCAAAGATATGTATAGAAAAATTGTGAGTCCATAACAGCATGTAAGGCTTTAACATCCATGAGAGATAATGTGTTGATAAATTAAGAAATCTTTATAAAGCTCTTTCTAAATGCCTAGGGAGCTCTATTGGCCTAGTGATAAAGAGTTGTGCTGCAAGCCAAAAGCAGGTTCAAATCTACTAGCTGCTTTTGGGCAGACAGATAGCTAATCTTTTCCTATGCAATTTACAGCTTCTGAAAACTCACTAAAGGGTCAGCTATGAGTTAATTCTGATTCCATCTTCAAAAAAAAAAAAAACAAATTTGAAGCCTAGCAGAGGACAGAGGCAAGTGTGGCAGTGGGGCGGCGAGGGCTGGAGAAAGAGGGGTCCTTGGGCCAAGCAAGTTTCTGAGTTGCCACTGAGAGATAAGAAGAGTGAAGAAAATGAAAGATATTTTAGTTGAAAGGACTAAAGTACCATGTAAACCTCATTCTCCACAAATTTGAAACAGCAAGAACTGAGTGGTGCCCCAAACCACTACCAACCACTTTGAAAGATATTACAGAAGGAGTGCTACAAAGGGTCAAGACAGATATGGAACAAAACAGAAGTAATAGAAAAGACAAGTCTTACTGCTCTGATAGAGACAAATGGAACACCCAATACTGTGGCTTTACACACTCTTCGAACCTGGAACAGAACTCACCTCCACGGTCTAGCTTTGGCCAAACAATAGGAATACATTCCTAATAGTAACCTACCATACAAGATCAAAATGGCAGCATTTGCCCCAAAATAAAACTCAGTATGTCAGAAGGGATAGGAAAGAGGGATGACTGGAAATTGGGAAGAATGCTGGTACATTGTGGGGTTGCAATCATGCAACCTGAAACAAATATATTTGAATTGTTGCATGGAAAACTACTATGTATCTTTCATCCAAGTCACAATAAAAAGTTTAAAGCATTTTATAAACCCAATTTTTTAAATGATAGGAATTATCCCAAATTTTGAGAAAAAAAAAAGATGAATAAGAGTATCCTTTCCTAAAAACTTACTTACTATGTAAGATTTTTGGTATTTCAGTCTGTTAAGGACAAATTCAAAACATAAAGAAAGTAGTCCAACAATATGCCAAGAAATTGGAAAAGATTGCAACTAGCTGACATTCAAGTTGATCTTCAAGTGTTTCCCCAGAAGAATAATCGTAGAATAGTACTTTCAAAGAGAGGAACATTAAAATCTTACTGCATTTGAGTAACAGCGAGAAGTTCAATACTTCATAGGAAAAATGTCCATATATAGATAGCATGAAAATACAAAAAAAGTAGGGTCCAAACTATTCAGTGCATTCTATATTAAGCTAAAGCAAATAAATGTTTTATTATACTAAGCTAAAGTGATTTAGGAACTGAAAATACATAAAATGAAGATAAATGAAACATATCACAAAATAAGTTTAAACAGTTGCCTAGTATAGCTATCACAATGGGGATAGAAAATTTTAAAAAACAGACTATATATACATTACTAAAGTGCTCTCTGGTAGAACTCTGGTGGCTTAGTGGTAAGGAATCATACTGCCAACCCAAAGACACATGGTTCAAATCCAGTGGCTGCTCAGTGGGAGAAGGATGGGCAGTCTACTTCCATGCAATTTACTTCCTCTGAAAAGCCACTGGAGGATCAGCTATGAGTCAGTTTTAACTTGATGGTATACAACAACAAAGACTACAAAGTGTTCTCAGGTTTTTAGATAAAGAAAATTGGGACTTAATATATCAAATTGAGAGTAGTTATTACTGAAATAGAGAAATATTGAACAGAATGACAGAGGAGAAAATGGAACATTGAAAAGAAATCCAGAAATTTTTTTTTTTACTCTCAGAAGCCCTATTACCCTGAGGACTGAAGAATTAAAGGGATGGCTGGTGGATTTGAACCAAGTGCCTTTGGGATAGGAGACTGGTATTTCAGCAACCCAACAACACACTAAAAGCAAATTCTATTTTAAATCATTACTGTTATTGAAACCTCTAATTACTCAAACTGCCAAAAAGGCTTGGAATCCTTAGCCACTTGCTACTGACACTGTCAAATTTGTCAAATGATCACTCATTGTTACCTTTGAGGATTACTGTTGATGGTAATGGAACTCTTGCCTGTCTCCTGCTGCTGGAAGACTATCAGTAACAGAGAGAAGAGACATAGCACATTCATTCCTCCCTTTGCCTTCAAATATTCCACCAGGACCACTTAAAGTCTAGACAATGTTGTTTGGACTATAACTCTTGTGCGATAGAGCAAAAATGAGAAGATATAAGAGCAAATGAGAGATTAAGCAAATAAATGAATGAGAGCCCCCAAAACAGATGAAAACTGAAAATCGAAGAAAGGGAGAATCCACAACAACTGAGCAGTTCCTAGCTTTGGAGATGGGCTTGTGGGATTACGCTAACATTCAAAAACACTCAAAACTCATCACCATCAAGTCAGCACCAACTCACAGATGACCTTCCATTAGATGTCCAAGGCTGTAAATTACACAGATGAGCAAGTAATTTGAGAAGTTGTACTATAAGAAGACTAATGTGACATCAAGATTGAAAGAAAACTCATCAACAACCTGTATTATGCAGATGACATAACCTTATTTGCTGAAAGCAAGAAGGACTTCAGAAGCTTGCTACAGAAGATCAAGGACTATAGTCTGCAATATTTTGACAATTTTGAGATTACATCTCAACATCAAGAAGGAAAAAATCCTCATCATTGGACCAATAAGCAATATCACAAAAGAAGGGGAAAATATTGACATTATCAAAGATTTCGCCTTAGTTGTATCTACAGTCAGCACCTTTGGTATCAGCAGTCAGTAAAGTAAGAAACATATAGCATTTAAAAAGTCTGCTGTCAGAGACATCTCCAAAATCTTAAAGGACAATGATGTCAATGTAAAGACTAAGATGAACCTCATTCAAGCCATAATATTTTCAATCACCTGTGAAGCATCTAAGAGCTAGACTGAACAAGGATGACAGAAGGATTAATGTCTTTGAGTTGTGGTATTGGAGGAGAGTATTGACTGTCACATGAACTGAAAAAGAATAAACACATATGTCTTGGATAGAGTGCAGCCAGAGTGCTCCTTAGAGGCAAGGATGGTAAAGCATCACCTCACATTCATTGGATATGTTGTTAGGTGGGACTAAACAGCTAATGTCCTTGGGAAGGGACATCATGCTTGGAAAGGTGAGGGGTCAGTGAAAGAGAGGAAGACCCTAAACCAGCCAGATTAACACAGTGACTTCTGCAATAGGTTCAAGTATATCATAGATGATGAGGATAGCACAGGATTAGGGAGGATTCAGATTTGCTGTGGGTCATACTTGGCTCAATGGCATGTAACAACAACAAACTGAGCAAGACAAAATAGGTTGTCTTTCTCCCAGAGTCACTGATCAGTTCCAATCACCAGAGAAGTCTAGCCTTTGAGTTAGCAGTGCAACATCTACATATTAAGCCATTAATGAGAGCTCCATTAGTTCAGATCAATAATAAAAAAGTAAGAAAGTTTTAAGAGAAATGGGCAGAAAACGTGAGAAGATGGGAATCAAGATGTCATCTGTAAATATATATTCACTTAAGTATAAAAATACTAGTGTAAAATCTATACAAGATATCTGGATTGGTAATAGAACAGAGAAGAACATGTATAAAACTGATGTCAAGAAAAGCAACATTTGCTCATTTAGCGCAGCGGCAGACTGGAGGTACGGTTTTTTCCCCTCTCCACCACCTGAGACTTTCACTAAGCAACCATGTCCAAGGGCCCTGCGGTTGGCATTGATCTTGGCACCACCTACTCCTGTGTAGGGGTAGGTGGAGATCATTGCAAATGATCAAGGCAACCGAACCATGCCAAGCTATGTCACATTTACCGATACCGAACGACTGATTGGCGATGCGGCAAAGAATCCAGTTGCAATGAATCCTACTAACACAGTATATTCGATGCCAAACGTCTCATTGGACGAAGATTTGATGATGCTGTTGTGCAGTCTGATATGAAACACTGGCCCTTCATGGTGGTGAACGATGCAGGCAGGCCCAAGGTCCAAGTAGACTATAAAGGAGAGACCAAAAGTTTCTATCCAGAGGAGGTGTCCTCTATGGTTCTCACAAAGATGAAGGAAATTGCAGAAGCCTACCTTGGGAAGACTGTTACCAATGCTGTTGTCACTGTACCAGCCTACTTCAATGATTCTCAGTGCCAGGCTACCAAAGATGCTGGAACCATTGCTGGCCTCAATGTCCTCCGAATCATCAATGAGCCAACTGCTGCTGCTATTGCTTATGGTCTGGACAAAAAGGTAGGTGCTGAAAGGAACGTGCTCATCTTCGACTTAGGAGGTGGCACTTTTGATGTGTCAATCCTCACTATTGAAGATGGGATATTTGAGGTCAAGTCTACAGCTGGAGACACCCACTTGGGTGGAGAAGACTTTGACAACAGAATGGTCAACCATTTCATTGCAGAGTTCAAGCGCAAGCATAAGAAAGACATCAGTGAAAACAAGAGGGCTGTCAGATGCCTCCGCACTGCTTGTGAATGTGCAAAGCGCACACTTTCTTCCAGCACCCAGGCCAGTATTGAGATAGATTCACTGTATGAGGGAATCGACTTCTATACTTCCATTACCCGAGCCCGCTTTGAAGAATTGAATGGTGATCTTTTCCGTGGCACTCTGGACCCTGTGGAGAAAGCTCTGAGGGATGCTAAGCTAGACAAATCACAGATCCATGATATTGTCCTGGTGGGTGGTTCTACCAGAATTCCCAAGATTCAGAAGCTTCTTCAGGATTTCTTCAATGGAAAGGAGTTGAACAAGAGCATCAACCCAGATGAGGCTGTTGCTTATGGTGCAGCTGTCCAGGCGGCCATTCTCTCTGGAAACAAATCTGAAAATGTTCAAGATTTGCTGCTCCTGGATGTCACTCCACTTTCTCTTGGTATTGAAACTGCTGGTGAAGTCATGACTGTCCTCATCAAG